TTAATTAGATATACATTTTAAGGCAATATTAGAGGTGTCTTGAGTACATCAGTGTAACCTAAGGAATCTAATCTTTAAACATTATTTTTAAGTCTCAACATTCATAAACCCTGTTTACACTTTCGTTCTTATTTTATTGTTTTTTAAGGACAAACTCTTACTTTATTATACAGAATTCATAATCATATTTACATTAAAAAATTTTATGTTTATTTAATTGTGGTTTTCTTTTTACTATCAGCACAAATATATTTGGTGGTGTTACAAGTCTTTTTTAATGTAATATTTTTACTAATTCTTTAAGAATTTCGTATATGGATACAACGTAATTTTAATATATTCACCCTTCACCCCCCAATTTCCCCCCAACTCCTTGTCTAAGGTTCTTTTTTCAATCTCTAGAAGATCAATTAAGTGCTCTACAGCTTCTGTAGGGCACAGGTGAAGGCACACTGGGGCTGCAGAAGAGCAATAGAAAAACGATGGAAAACATTTTGGTGCCTGGGAATGGGAGAGGTCCAACGTCAGGCCTGCTGCCCAGGACCACATGTGGAGTCAAGACCTTAGCTGGATATCAAGGGAAGTGGGAAGTCTATTCTTGAGAATCAGTCCTCGCAAGAGTAGAAACTGGAAATGACAGAAACCTCCCCATCCTCATCATAACTAACACAGAAGCAAAGGCACTGCTGTGCACAACTTGGGACCTCAGGGGAGGGCTCTGGGGATGCAGCCCCTCAGAGAGGGCTGAAACTGCTGCCTCCGTCCTCCAATCCGCTCCACCGTCAGCCCACCACTGGAGGAATGGGGAGCCATGGTTCACAGTTACTTTGTCATGCGTTTTCTGGTCTATTTTCTTTCCCTGTCCCTGCATCATTCACAAAGATAAGCCACAAAGGTACAACAGCACTTGCAGGAATGAACACAGGAGTGAATGGCAGATTGGGTCTTCTCCCTAGGGAGTCCTGGGCATTAATCCTGGGCATGACCGTTGACTGCATTAGGTTGCCCATGTGAGATAATCTGCTGTAAGACTCCCTCACAGGCTTGTTGATGTCTAGGGCTCCACCTTCCTCAGTGGCCTCATTGAAGACAGTATCGATGATTAAGAAACGCTCCAGAGAAAGAGGGGATGTGGCAGCTAGACACAAAGATGGAGACAGGCTTCCAGTTGGGAAAAACAATCTTAAGGAAATTTGATGCCACTCTACATAAACATTTAACTCCGATTGGGATTTTTGCCTGCAGGTAAATCTCCTTTGGACTATACTATACTATTCCCTTGAGATTACAACAAATCTGGATTTACTTAAAGAACGTGATTTCATTATCTTCATTTCAGTATTTCTTTGAAACAAATGTGTGTGAGAGTTCAGTCAAGGTTTATGAGATATTTAATTTTGATTCTTTGAAGGTGAAGAATGTCTCACTGGCCCTGCCTGCCATCACTACCCAGCTGGCTGCATGGCAGGCTCTGCCCTGTCCCTTCAAGGGAAGTTCATGGAAGGGACTAGTGGACAATAAAAAGTAAGATGGTTTGAATGGGTACATTATAACAAACGATTATTTTCTTCCTTTTCTAGTCTTTAATGCATGAACTGCTTATAGCTATTTCATAGGAAATCAACAACAAGGTGTACGGTAATGCAATGCTTCTCTTCTTAAAAAAAATCATACAATGCCTCCTTTGGGGAGGAGTTTATATTTATTTTCATATTTAAATACAGTCATATTTATTTTCATTTCTCTTCCTCATTTGAGACTCAGAAAAGCATCTAGACATTGTTTCATAAGAAATTTTCTTCAGCAATTTAAAATAACAAATTAAGATTAATTTAAAAATTCTATTTTCAGTCTTAAATCTCTTATATTCTTTGCTGATATATTTTCCCTAAATTAGTGTAATTTAAACCAGAAAATTTCAAAGAATATTTCATTTCATAAAAATTCAAAGGCAAATACTAAGGAAAATAATTATAAACAATGTTATAAACTATTACTTTATTATATTAAATAAAATTATGCAAAAAACATTGCCAAAGAGATAAATGAATTAAAAGTCTCAAAAGAGACATTTTGAAAGGGTAATGCAGATAGAAAATTGTCCTGTCTTTCTAGTTATCTAAATAGAAAATTCATGTTAGTATGTTTCCAGTTTATAAAAAAAATATGAAATTAGTTTTTCTATAATTTCAAGAAAATCTTTGGTGTCCTTTCTTCAAAGAAAATAACCAAGAAGCCTAAGTAAACTAGGTTTCCTTCCTACTGTTTGAGAAGGCAAATCATGAAGATTTGCCTCTTCTGTTCTGCAGACTTTTCAGGAGCCCCAAGGATGTCTAGTTCTCCAGGAAGCATGAAAAAGAGTCATTTTCAATAGGCATATTCCCATGTGGTGAAAAGATTTTAAATTACTGCAATCACTTTAAACAGTAGTCCTGAAATATGTCATAATAAAATCACAAAAAATCCATATACTTTGACTTCTGAGACACTATGCTATCTATATTGCATGAAAATATTAACTACACATTTTTCAGGTTCATAAAATTGTAGCAAAGCATGAGTGTGTATTCAATTAGTCCACAGAACTCTCACATGATCTAGCCAAACCTCTTCTAGGATCCAACAGGTATATTCAAGTTAGCATAAAATAGAGATTCTGGTCTTCAGTGTTTATTCACAATAACTAAGAGTTGGAGGCAGGCTAGATGTCCAACATGCAAATAGATAAAAAGATGTGATTATGTACACAGTTAAATTTTATTTACCAATAGTGAAGAATGAAATTATGGCATTCACAGGAAAATGGATGGAACTGGATGGAGATCATTGTATTGAGTGCCAGACTCAGAATGACAAATATCTGTTTTCTTATATGTAGACTCTATTTGGATTTGTGGTGCATGTGTATGTGTGTGTGACAGAAAAAGAGAAAGACCTATGAGGGAGGGGAGGGAGACGCCTAAAGAGAAGAGAGGAGAGAACAAGAGGGTAATGAAATATGTAAAACATAAAAGCAGAAGGGGAACTATTCTGGGTAAGGAAGGTGACCAGCAAGTGGGGAGAAGAGAAAGAAATAGGCCATGGGGGTGAGTAAAAACAAAGTATAATTATATATATGTATATATTATGTATGTATATGTATAAAAAGTTACAACAAACCCATTTCTTTTTTGTTATTTTTGGTTTTTTTTAATATTTTATTTATTATTTTTATTTTATGTGTATGTGTGTATTGCCTACATGTAGGGAAGTGCACTCATGGTGTGCAATGCAGGCAGAGGACAGGGTCTTCTGCAAGAACAGCCAGTGTTCTTAACCACCGAGCCATCTCTCCAGCCCCCATTGTTTTAATTATTTCAAAAAAATAATAAAATGTATAACTGAGAAATGACCCTATACTAGCCAATAATTAATTGTATTACAGGATGAGAAGAAATTGGAATGGCTAGATTATTTCCAAAGAAGATCAAAAGCATCATTAGGTAGAATTTTCTATGCCTTGTACCACTTACCATCATGGAACCTCATCAAGAGTGCTTTAATCTTACTGGGGATAACTAATGTCCTAAATTAACTTAGTGCAGATATAATGTCACCTAAGAATACATGGAAAGCTAGAAGATAAAACATATATGGATATTATAATTGTTAATTGTTTTGTAAGACACTTAAGGTAAGACTATGGGGGTTAGAGAGATGGCTCAGCGTTTAAGAGCACTGATTGCTCTTGCAGAGGACCTGGGTTTGATTCCCAGCATCCATATTGTGGCTAACAACCACCCATAACTCCAGTTCCAGGGGATCAGTCACCCTCTTCGGATCTCCTCAGCAGTGCACAACACAGGTGCACTTACATCATGCAGGCAATACACTCACATATAAAATAAAAATAACAAAATATTAAAAAAGACTATGATCCTCTCTGAAACAAAGCCTTCACATAAAACGTTTCTCTGGATCATCACGACAGCTATGGATCTATGAACTGATAGCCGTTTGCCATTTGAAACATTCCTATACTCTTGATTAAAAAAAAAATACAAGTGGCTTCACTTGTGACAGAAGGAGGAAGTTAGGAGGAAGATAGTAACTCTCCCTATGGTGAAGTCCAAACTCATGAATAAAAACAACCTGGAGATCAGACTACCCAAGTTCACATTATTTTCTGTGTTCATCATTTCTGTGCAATTCAATATATTTAATACAGTTTTATGTAAATGGTCCCAGCCAGGGACAGCAGTCACCATCAACCCCTTGTGAGATGTGAGAGTGAGAGACCTCAGTCTAGGAAGGCACAGCTCAGAGGCCATGGCTCTGCTGTCCAACCCTACGCAGGGCAGCGTGCTCTACCGCTGTTCTGGAAGGGGCTTTACTGATTTTATTACACACAAAAAACATCATTTGTAGGCAGCCTCAAGGGTGTTGAGAAAATCAGAAAGTTAAAACAAAAATTTGGAAAGATAAATGAAACCAAAGACAAGGACAAAAAAAGCAAACAAGTGACAAAGACAAACCAGGCTCTGACAGATCTCTGTGCCTGTTTTTCCCGTGTTGGCAGGCGATCAAAATATCACAAGAATGGCTGCTTTAGCTGGTGAAATCAGTACATGTAAATTCTCCTTTTACAATAAAACAGGAATATATGCCAATATAATCATTTATTCAGAACATAGAGAAACTACAATCAGTGTCATTTTTTAGACACCAGCATTTTAAAGCACTATCCATTTTGTACTTGCAATAATTTTATTGTAAGCATAACGTGAATCTAATTTCATAATAGAAATCTGAATTAGCCCGAACTCGAAGTGAACTAGATCCTGGATCCTTTCTGCCCCTCTACAGAACAAAACTCATTATTAGCACTTTCCTGTGTATTTATCTTATCTTATATCTTAGATAAATTATGTTTCTGGAGGGGTGTGGAGTGAAAACAAAGAAAGAAAAATTACCTTTACTCCCAGTACTTATTCTTTCTGAAATCTTTGGTTTTCTCTTACCTTAGGTTGTTTGCAAAGATAGCGGCAAAGTTCTCCAATATACTGAAACACAGTCACATTGTATTTTTTGCAATCACTCCAAAACTGGCTTGCAGAGAATTTCTTCTTTAACACACAAGTGGCCCCTATAAGAAAGGGGAAAATAGTGATTAAGGAACAACCTCACAGGCAGAATTAACTTAAAGCACAAATGATGTTACTGTCTCAACATGTGTGCCCACTTCTTAGGCTTTGAGAACTCATCAACCATTTATACCAAGTTCATTTGAAAACATTGCTTTTAGAAAATAAACTTTTGACAAATTCATATGGTAGCTATGCATTTTGACTGCAAATACCTGTGTCCATCGCCCATTGAATGCACCCAATCTCTGATTGCAAATGTGCTTTTTTATAATATATAGAATGAAAGCAACCATCAAAATAAGTAAAGTTATAAGTTTTAGAGCATTTTCATTCAAAGGTCATCTTTCTTCCCAGAGACAAAGAATATTGACTCACTTTGACCTTGCATATAAACATAGTTTGTTTTTAAAAGCTTTAAAGCAGTCTCAGCATACCTTGAATCTGAGATTTAATAAGCTAGACTAAAACACCACCAAAAGTTCATCAGTGAGCACAGAACCTCGTTATAACAACCTGGTTTTTAAAAGGTGCCCTATTTTTAACTGGGATATAATTCACATGAAAAATACTTCACAACTTCAAGTGAGCGAGCCAGTGTTCATATAGTCACAAACATCTCACCATCATTATCTAATTCCAGTATTTTTTTTCTAGCATCCCCCCACAAAGTATATCTGCTGTTAGCAGTCAGTCCCATACCCAATTTTGCCTCACCCCTGGTGATTCATACGCTTCCTGACTCTAAGCTGTCCCGTTATGGACTAATGTCATGTTTCAGGCTGTCTTCATTTACTACAAAGTGGTACATTCCAGTTTCATTTATGCTGCAGCATATATCAATACTTCATTTTCTTTATGGTTGGTTATGTCCATGGATATATAATATTCTATTTGTCATTTTGCCAGTTAATGGGTACCTGGATTGCTTATATTTTGGGTCATCAAGATTAATGCTGATATGCACACATGACTGCATGTTTTCAGTCCCTTTGGGCATGAATCTACACATAGAATCACTGGGTTATATGACTACCTCATCTTTCACAACAGTGAAACAGTTCACAACAGTGTGCCTAGGTCTGAATTCCAACACAAACACCTGTGCTTGTTGTCATGCCCTGCATCACACAGGATGGAGAGGATGGAGTCTTGCACTCAACTCCACTTATGGAGGCTCCAGAAAGGATGCTGGAAACAGTGATCCAGCCCAAGGCACCATAACAGGTATTAGCCTGGCAGTAGTGTTTTTGGGGCTCTGCCTGGCATTAGGTTCCACATGGCACATTTGGTATTGGGCTTCACAAGCAGGCCTAGTTCAAATCTCTCTCTCTTCCTCTCTCTCTCTCTCTCTCTCTCTCTCTCTCTCTCTCTCCCTCCAGTATGCCCTTTTTTTGGTTATATTAGAAGCAGGTGCTGTGGTCTATTGCCTGGTTTTCTTAAAGGTAGTTCGGTGTACACATAAATGTCATCTTTCTGTGTCTGTGGAGAAATGGTTACCAGGGTTTTACTCAGCTGTCATCCTCTCTTACCCTACCTCCAACAATCCAGTCTCGACAACAATCTATATCATTCTACATAATCTCACATGCAATTACTGATACTTTTTAACTTGGATATTGATCACAGTTCTGAATAAACTACTGTAGAAATACTATACTGTGTCAGGCATAAACAAATAGTAATAGATGTTCTCTTCAGAGCTAGTAAATGAAACATAATCCTGCATGTTTATGAATAGAATCTACTGAATCATAGGCTCTATTTGAGGACTTCATGGGTGTTTGGGGCAGATTGGCTGTGATTAAAAAAGGCCTTAACAATCCCCGCCCCCTTCTGTTTGATATAGATTTGCTCTTCCCTTGAAGAGGTGGAGTCCATTCTCCCACCCCTCAAATCTTGACTCTGGACTAAACTTTGACTTGTTTTGATCAATAGAATGCTGCTGAATCCCTGGGATTTCTAAAACGTGCTCTAAACGGGGCTGCTGCTTACTTGAAACATTCCTGAGATTGTCTGAGGATCCTGTGGCAAGTCTCTGAAGAATGAGAAACCACAGGAGAAAGCAGCCCTGGATACAGACTGCTGCAGTCACATGGCCAAATGCCTTGACCTTGACCTTTGTACTTTAGGAGTATGCTTTGTCATGAAAATGTGCCCTTTCCAGAAATACTATGTTGTGATTATACAATATGCATGCAGTCTCTCTGAAGTCTGTGTATAAGCTCTAATGAATGTATGTTCTGAGTAGACATTTTGAAAACTTATCAAAAAAAAAAAAACAAAACATACCCAACTCAACACATCCACCAATGCCAAGGAGAGATGCTGAGCTATGATACAGAGGGAGGGTTATATAAACGATGTCATCAGCTGTGCAGCCGAAAGCCCACAGTCCAACAGATCCCTTTAGAACCTGCAACTGGCTAATCACAGCTGCTTTGGGTAGACCTGGAAGATAAGAAAAGAAAGGTTTATTTACCCACACGCATTGTGAAGCCACAGTTCTCTAAAGGACTCATGTCTATTTTAGAGATGCTGCAGACTGACCTCAGCAAAGTAAGGTAGTATGATTATGGAAAGGTGAAATATAGCAAGGAGAGAACCAGAATTATCTTGGGCAGAAAACAGCTGTTTACTTTTAATCTTTGCATGTGACCTAATAGTCTGACGACACGTAAGTAAATCATTTGGAAGGTGCTGTTAAGCTTATTTCTAGTTTCCACCAACCTATAGCTGAGAATGCTCTAAACTAATATCTGAAACATAATGAAACAGTTATCTCCACTTTCCTGTAGCCTGCTTGCCTAATGCCCCACCAATGTATTAGCTGAAAGTATTTTTTTATAATCCTCTTTGTTCTAAGCTACAAATGTTCATGCAGCCTCTTCCAAGGCAGAACATGTCCTCTAGGGCAACATGAATCTGTTTTCTAGGATGACAGCCACTCATGTTTGGTTCAGAAAAAAAAACAAAAAACAAAAAACAAAACAAAACAAAAAAACTATTTCTCATTTTTTAAAGCAGGATTGTTATTTTGGGATATATATATGTGTGTGTGTGTGTGTGTGTGTGTGTGTGTGTGTGTGCATATAAACAAGAGAAAGATTATCCTGGCATCAACTATACAAGGAATCGAGGCAAAACCATTAGATTATTCCCAATGCCTTGTAAGGATACATGCAGTGTGAATTGCTGTTGTAATGAAGTTCTAGAATCTTTATTCCAACCAAAACAGGACAAAATTATGTAAAATGGCTCAAAATCAAAGGGTAGTATCTGATAGAAAAATGCCAAAAATGATAACATCTGAAAATATATGTCTCCAAGTGAGGGAAATCTTAACATTACAAACAAAATTACATTTGAAATAAAGTTTTCTGGAGCATAATTCTTGTTCCAAGTAGGGCTCTCAAGTATAGACCATTTATTTTCTCATGTTTAACATGAACTATGATATGGTCATTTTAAAATGTAAGATTCGCAAAAACAATGAGTCTTTCTGTAAGAAACAGTATATTTTAAAATGAAATGGAGATCTTTTTAAAAGTTAAAAACTCATTCAATTTTATGTCTTACAGGGTTTATACTGAGTTCAATAGTGTATAACTATTAATTCAACTGTGAACCTAAAAAACTTATAGCCACTTTTGAAAGTTATGTATCTTTGCTTTGGAAATTGTTGAGTATGTTAAAGCTGTAATGAAATGCTTCTTCTAATAAAAAAAAAAGAAAGAAAAAAATATGTAAGATTCATGAAATCTGTCGGAACTATCCCATGCACTGAAGTCAAACACAATTGTCCTTTTCTGTTCTAGCCTTCCTCCTCATGCAATTAATATCTGTTTTTAAAAAATGGAAGTTTACTAGTGCTTATAAAATACTATAGCATACAGAAGTAGTCAAAGACTGAAAAAACATAATTTAAGATTCATATTTCCTAGTAAGGTAATAGCCTCTCATGGCGTTATAATTAGTTTTTTTTTTAGTTGAAAAGTCAATTTTAAAAAATAAATAACAATAATGAACAATATCCATGATCAGTTAATCCACATACATATTGTGTATGAAGCATGACATTAGCTGAGCTTTTAGATAACATTGCTGATAAGATTATCTGCCAATTGATTTTATATCACAGATCTAAAGAAGACATAACTTGACTGTGTAAAATGATTAAATATGATAAAACATTCTTTTCCTATGGCTGTTCAAGAAAAATATCTCGAACAGATGAAATGAATTATTACATTAATTTAAAAATCATAATTCCTTTAAGAATAGGTTTTTTTTTATTAGAAGAAGCGTTTCATTACAACAGCATTAACCTATTCAATAACATTTTTCTGAGCTAGGGTACATCTCTTTCAAAATTGGCTGTACATTTTTAGGTTTACAGATGAATTACTATGCTTGGACAATCTTTTATTCATTATAAACTCTATAAGACATAAAATTAAATGAGGTTCCAACGTTTAAAAAAGATCTCC